TAAATTCATTTTCAGGTGATTCTGGACCAAGTCGTAATGGAACAAATATTATACATGGATTAAATCCTACTTCATCTTTACTCAACTCTTCAATCTTCGGTCCAACAATACTTCCTAATTTAGCAACATACCCACGTGTTCTAAAGACTCTCATCTCATTAATGTGTTCTGCAGCTATATCAGAAGCAAATGATGGTCCCCACCATTGTCCTTCAGTAACTCCCCTTGTAGATGCTCTTGCAACTAATCTGTGAATAGAAAATAAACTTCCAGTTGAATCTCCAAACAAATTAATAATTGATTTTATATGAAAAATATTTCTTTCTGTATTCATACAATTATTTTCATATTTCCAATTATTTCCAAGAACAATTGAAAGAAATGTTTGTGCAAGTACCATTTGTAATGATCGAATCATACATCCCCATCCTGAGTCTGTAGTTTTTTCTTTAATTAATGGCATATTTTTTCTGTATGTAATCCAAATAGTATGTCTTGCAAATTCATCAATATCTTTTTTATTCTCTCGTTTTTTAGGAATTTCAGTTTCATTTTCTCCCAAGGCAATAGCTTCAATTACATTTAAAGAGCCAACTTCCATAAAAGATGTTTAAATCACAAAATACGAGTTTTTTAATTTTATTTTTCTTTTTCATCTTCAAACAAACAAACAAAAAAAAAAAAAAAATCTAAAAACAAAAAATAATAAAAGGAATGAAAAGACCAGAAGTAAATATTGTGATTGAAAAAACCTCGTTTTTGATGGAAAAAATGGAATATATTGAACAATATGGTACAATTTACTTTGATAGATTGAAAAGATTAAGACCATTATTAGAAATTTCAGTAAAAAAAGTAGATAGTAATATTTGTATTGTTGAAAAATTATCTCATATCCCACAAGGAAGAGTAGCTCTTATTGGTACTTTATTTAAAAAATCAAAAAAAATTCCTACATTATTAAATCAATATAAAAGTATTAAAAGTGTTGATTCAATTAGTTTTAATGAAGATTCATATGTTGATGATTCAGATACTTGTTATTTAGAAGATATAACAAGTCATGTAAATTTAATTATTAATAAAGATCAATTAGCTCATATTGTCAGTGGAACAGCATTGGCTGTAATTGGAGAATTAATTAATGATTTATCATTTGAAATAAAATCAATTTTATATCCTTATGATAAACCAAAACCAACTAAACTAATTGAAAGTGAAACTCATTGTTATATTGCTCTTGTAAATGATATCCAATATTCATCTAAAAAAAAGATCTTAT